TTGGTAAAAGAGTAGTCCAAGAGTTGGCGGTAGGTGGTGATGACTAGCTGCCTTCCCTCTCGTCTTACACTGCTAAATTAGGAGGGGCTAGCGCAGATAGCCCTCGTGTAGCTTTGCGCGAAATCCATAACAAACAATCAACAATTAATGTGGGGGGGGGGGGCAAATATCATTGGCCCTCCCCAATAATTTTCTGACGACAATTCTTTTAGTTATCATTTTTCTATGCTGTCACTTGGTAGGAGATTATTGTTCTTTGGGAAATTCTAAACATTACTTTGTTAGCAACTTTTTGTGTATCTGTATAATGTATATGCTGGTTATATCTGAAACATTCGTATTATTTATATGACTTACAATTTTGTAGTACACAACAAACAATTTCGTGTGTTTTTGTATGTACAATACAGTACTTGCTACTGTGTGGAATTGTTAATAATATTTTAAAGCCCATTGTCTTGTTCGATCTGAAATAAGAAAGTACAAGAATGTATACCGCCATTATCCTACTAAGTTTGTGTGTGGGGTTGTTATATTTTGATGCTAATTGTAATTATACTATTATCGGAGAAGCTATTACATATTCAGCTATCGCACAGGGACAGACCGATATTCCGAAAAATTCCCGCCACTAGTACTGGAGTTTGCTTTATTATTATTCAACGTTTTTGTCCTATTCTTGTTATTATGAGAAATTTGATATATTCTTTAAAAAATAGAAAGCTTCCATTATGGGTAACAATAACATAGGTCTTTGGAATTATTACAAATATACCTCAAAATGTTATCGGCTTATTCCCCTAATATAACATTATACTCATACAACTGTTCATGTAATATAACAACCTGAATGAACATTAGGCCTACATATGTAATTGCTTTTACGTTCAATTTTCGGAGTGTCGGACTGTAACGGTCGCATGTTAGTAAACTATTATAGTAATTCAAATTAATCCAGTGTAACAACGTCGTGAAGAACAGTGTTTGTTATCTTTGTCGTGATCAGTAATATGACTATCAAAAACAATTTAACGTGTAATTTTGCGTAACCAAGCTTGTCGCCGCAATTGTAATTGCTTTGTGTGTGTGCGTGTTTGTCGAATTGCTTTAACCTCTCTCTTTGGTTCGGCAAGGTTGACATTATCTGATCTGGTTTGAGACTTGTGATTACTTGATTGCAGCGATTACCGAATTTTCCCGTAAGACGATTGTAAAACTAGAGGTTGAAGGGGCCTTTTCTTGGTTTACACAACACTGTGGTCTCCACAACCACAAACTGTCGGCTTTATACCTTGTAAAACGGGGGTATTTTTCACCTAATTGGTGCTATAAACGTTTATCTCTGCATTTAATGAATACACATTTGGGATGACTTTTACGACGCGTTGCTTTTCTTTCGAAAAGGGGGCGCCAACTGCAAAAGATAATGGGCACCTGCTACTGTCAAAATATTCCCAAGCTTCTCAGAATACTTGAGCACCTCTCATCACAAACTCGAGCAGAATGACCGTGATGGTTCCCACGTTCGTTAAGTGTTAAGCAAAATCCTGTTATTTTGTGACGTAACCATTGACGTTGAGGTAAAAAGCCTAGCCGACACAGTATTTGTAGCGGTGCCCTTGCAGTCACTAGTACTGATACTTCTGTGTTTACAGTGTCCTACAGTCACTAGTACTGATATTTCTGTGTTTACAGTGTCCGAAAGTTTGCCGGACTTTCAAGACGTAAAAGGTAATGATTGGATTTCTGGAAAAATTATGTTTTAGAGTAAGAAATATTTTAAGGCACCTTTTAAATATCATATGATAACTTATATATATTTATTTATATATATGAAATTGGCACGTGTAACTTTACTGGTTGTACTCTAATAATATACAAATATGTAATATTAGTACTGTGCCAAATCTTTTATGAATATTAGCAAGGGTCTATTTCATTTTCTGACTGTAAATTATGAATGTTTTCTGTATGTGTCTTGTATGAGATAAGCCTATTTATTCCTTTCAATAAATAAATACTACAAAAAAATAACACTCTCGGGACTGAAGTGGCACTAAGTCAGTTTAAAACATTTCAAAAAATGTCATCAAAGCACAAAACACTACATTAGTATCAACTCGTGGTTCTCTATTTACCTCTATCCAGTTTTTAACAAGATCTAAATAAGTTCAAAGGTAACATCCCACAATACCAATAGTTTCTTTTTATCTTGATTTAGTTCACACAACTGATAGTCGTCAGTTTTATACTAGGAATATAAGAATGCTGTGATGTGTTTGTACTTCATATTATTTCAAACTTACGTTTATAAGTTTGTGAGAAGAGCAATTATTAAAGATTATTACTGTGTTATGTGACAACTGTTGTCCAACCTGGTAAAGTTTTTTAAATTTGAAAACAGACTGAAGTGATTTGAAAGTAGTGTTGATGTTGGGAATCTGTGGGAAGTTTACTGAAAATTGCACTTTAAGAAAGTAGTGTTGATGTTGGGAATCTGTGGGAAGTTTACTGAAAATTGCACTTTAAGAAAGTAGTGTTGCTGTTGGGAATCTGTGGGAAGTTTACTGAAAATTGCACTTTAAGAAAGTAGTGTTGATGTTGGGAATCTGTGGGAAGTTTACTGAAAATTGCACTTTAAGAAAGTAGTGTTGCTGTTGGGAATCTGTGGGAAGTTTACTGAAAATTGCACTTTAAATGTGCCATGATAGTTTCTCCTCTCCAAGTCATCGTTAACACGTGTTAAGTTATAGATAGCCACATTGATCAGTATAAGCTATTAACCTGGAGTCTCCAAGTCATCGTTAACACGTGTTAAGTTATAGATAGCCACATAGATCAGTATAAGCTATTAACCTGGAGTCTCCCAAGTCATCGTTAAGTTATAGCCACATAGATCAGTATAAGCTATTAACCTGGAGTCTCCAATTCATCGTTAAGTTATAGCCACATAGATCAGTATAAGATATTAACCTTGAGTATTCAAGTAATCGTTAAGTTATAGCCACATAGATCAGTATAAGATATTAACCTTGAGTATTCAAGTCATCGTTAAGTTATAGCCACATAGATCAGTATAAGCCATTAACCTTGAGTCTCCAGGTCATCGTTAAGTTATAGCAACATAGATCGGTATAAGCTATTGACCTTCAGTCTCCAAGTCATAGTTAACACATGTTAAGTTATAGCTACATAGATCAGTATAAGCTATTAACCTTCAGTCTCCAAGTCATCGTTAAGTTATAGCTACATAGATCGGTATAAGCTATTGACCTTCAGTCTCCAAGTCATCCTTAAGTTATAGCCACATAGATCAGTATAAGCTATTGACCTTTAGTATCCAAGTCATCATTAAGTTATAGCCACATAGATCAGTATAAGCTATTGACCTTTAGTCTCCAAGTCATCGTTAAGTTATAGCCACATAGATCAGTATAAGCTATTGACCTTCAATCTCCAAGTCATCGTTAAGTTACAGCTACATAGATCAGTATAAGCTATTAACCTTCAGTCTCCAAGTCATCGTTAAGTTATAGCTACATAGATCAGTATAAGCTATTAACCTTTAGTCTCCAAGTCATCATTAAGTTATAGCCACATAGATCAATATAAGCTATTAACATTGAGTGTTATATTATGTGTAATAAAATTGTATGAGAATGTTATTTGAAGTGATTTATAAGTTTTTATCTCCTAAAAATACCAGCAAACATCAGATCATTTAAATACATTTTTCTGTTGTTTGGTTGTGTCTTATAGTGGCTTTATGGTATATTTAAGTTTGGCTAGGTAACAGTGGTTTACTGCTTTGTATTACATATTTGTGTGTGATAAAAAAAAAAGGTTTAATTAAACATAGATTTATGAAAAATTATCTCATGTGTATACATAAGTATTTCCAAATGCAGTAGATAGGAGATGTATAAGGAAATAATTTATTAGGATTAGATTACTATAGAATCATAAGAAGTGTTTTGGGCAGAATACAGATCAGGGCTGCCAAGAGTCACCATGAGCTCCTTGGAACTATGTGCCATCACTCCACCCCTCAGGTAGTTTTTGGAATGACACTGCTACATCCATAAGATATTGAAGGCATGAATGTGCATGAAATATTGAAAATAATTGTTTTATACTAATTTGATACATTCCATACATATTTTTTGCTGTTATCATGGGACTCCTGATGGACAGTGGGCCTTGAGGAAATATTCCCAGCCCTCCTGTCTTCCCAGAGAGGCTTATACCAATAATTAAGTTTCTGCACTGTTATGTTTAGCACTTAACAATTTTGGCCCCCTAAGCTCTGTTGGTGGGCCTAATATCAATAACTAAGTTTCTGCACTGTTAAGTTTAGTGCATAACAATCCTGGCCCCCAGCCCTCTTGGTGGGCCTGATGCCAGTAACTATAAGTTTTTGCACTGTCATGTGTTTAAGACTTAAGAAAGATTATTTGTTTTCCCAGAAAGGCCAACTGTATTTTGTTGTTATAATGTGTGCTTGATATTTCTCAAACTCTTAAAACATTTTACACCTACTGAAAGAAGTTTTTACTAACATCTAAAGCTTTGGTTGAAGTGTGAAACTTATTTTCATCAGCAGTTGATTTAACATCAGTGAAGCAGTTAGTGTCACAATGTACAATAAGATACAGTTGTTTAGAAACCTCTGAGTACTTTTTTTATTTAGTCCTGCCATCATATAATCAGTATACTTAAAAATACCTTTACTGACATTCCCTCGATTTTCAAGGCATAAGTAGTCAGCTGTTTTGTAAACTTCTGTAATTAAAGGTTTACTAAAAATCACACCCACTAATGAAAAAAGTAAATTGTAATACATAGAACATCAATCTATAATAATTATAACAATAGCAATAGTATTAATATAAAAATTAATTACAATTTTAGTGTTTTATGCATGAGTCATAATTATTTTTCCAAAGTGATTAATTGAATTGTTTTTGTTTTTGTCTCTTTTATGATTCTTTGATGTAAGTTTTAGAATTTTTTTATCATAATACATTTTATATTCATTATTGTATCTCTATGTTTTACTTGAATATCATTCAAAATTAAAATCTTTCTCAAGTTCTTTTATCATATTTGATAAAAGTATATAAACTTCTATTTATAAAAAAAAGCATCAAAATGCTGATTTTGTACTTAACTGTATATTATGTAGATTTAATACAATTGACATAAAAGATCTATGTAGGAAGGTAGATGATGTGAGGAGGATAAAGCCCTTATAAATACATTTGTTGGATTTCAGTGCCAAAAATTATATTTAAGTTCTTCTTTAAAACATTTTTGAAAGATGCTTAAAGTCTTAATACTTTTGATTTACTTACACATCAAGTGCGTGAATTTAAAAATATCTCTTGAGTGGGAAGCACAACAAAAGTGTAAACAAATATTACAACCAGTTTATAATGGTTACATGAACTAAACACTAGAGAAAATGTGAAGGAGTCAAAAACTAGGTTTTTTTTGTAGAACATTGAAAGTCAAATCTACTTCTTGTTTTTAATTGTTATTTATAAGCTTTTCTCTGCTAACTTGAGGTTTCATTTGGGGTATCATTTTAGATGGGTTATATGTCTTACAGCTATATTTTACTTGATTTTTAACCATTTGGCATGTGTTTGATAGATTTTTCAGCCTTTATAAACAAATATAATAAAAAGGCAGTTAATATTGTCATAGTTTACTGTTACATAGTACATGCACTTTACATACATTCAATTGTCAGCTTTTTGAAATTCTAATTGTTTTTCTTAGTTTTTTTAGGTGTACATTCTGAGTATGAGAGTTATTAACAACTTGTGTAATTATATTTATATGAGGATCACCACTAATCTCTAAAAGTTAGAAATTTGAAAAAAAATGAGTAAAAAAAATGACAGGGGAAATTCATGAAAAACTGAAGTATTATTTCAAGACTAACTGGAGTACCTGCCTGCTGGATAGAAGATATATAAATTCATGATTAAAGAAAGGTTATCTTAGGACATAAAGTTAATTCCCGTGTATGTAATTGTAAAAAAATGCAAAAAAGCCCATAAAAACTGCAAAATGCAAAACTGAAAATATGTATGTATTTCCCCATGGACCCAATGAACCTCCGTACAAATTTTGAGGAAGATCCATCCAAACCTTGCGAAGTAGTTACATGGACAGACAACAGACAATACTATTATATTTATATAGATTTGGAAAAGTCCGAGATAGCTGTGCATTTTTCCATTTTCTTTTATGTTAGAATCTTCATACATTTTCAAACCATTCTGCTTAACTGTGCAGGCTGTTCATATATTTTAGGTAACCTTGGTCAGTCACTCTCTCTTATCTGGTGACAATTCATTATATTTGACAATCAATTGGTCTTTTTTTTTTTAGATAAAAATACAACACTGTTGTCTATTATCAAGTTCTTTGACATTCTTCTGTAGTGTCATTGACTGAAGTACATATTTTCCAAAGTTTTTATTACCCATTACAACTAGATTATGGGATAAAGTAGTGTTAATGAAGTAGAATTATAAGGAGAAATTGAAATATGTGTGTGTGTGGTATGAATGTATATGCAGGCCTGGAAAATCAAGGGTAAATGTTTTTGGAAAGTTTGTGGCCACTGTGTACATACATACATACTTGTTCCTTTTCTAGAATAGCAATCAAACCTGTGATAATTAATAGTTTGTAAAATACAACTGTCTTTATTCCATTTGATTGTTTTTATGTAATGTTGTGTGTCTGTGTACTATTTATAAATACACTAAATTTGACTACTGTTACTTCAATTACTCAGCCATTCTCTTGTATGCTTTTTCGATCAAATTAAATTGTATTATGAATGACTTTTGAAGGAAATGATTATGTTTGCAGAGCAGAAGGTGCAGAAAATACCTCTACTATAATGATAGATAGGTGTATAAATATAAACCTATCTTAATAAGCTTTGGTGATCACGAACATAAAGAAATACCTTTCTTAAAAGTAATTTGTGATAGCTTAAAAAAATAAATATTATAAAGCTTGATTATTTTTTAACATTTCATATGATTTTTGTATGTATGTATATATATAATGCAAGTCACATGATTTCTAAGTATTAATATGTATATTTTTGGAGCTAATTAGGTATGTAAACGTGTCACAACTGTACCAGTACAAATGAAAAAACAAAATAAACTCAAAATACATGTGCATATAATATTGATAACATCGTTAAAGTAGAGAACCGGTGAGTAGCGTAACAGCCAAATGTTTTGTTAATTATTCTTATTCTGGCATCAGAAGGGCTAGCTCAACAATACTTGAAGTTGTTGCTATGATTTATACACCAAAATGTTGCATTTTAAGTTGGGGAGGGCAGAAACATTATAGCATTTCACTAACTTCAACACATGGTGACCATCAAGACAAATCATCACACCAGGTTAAAATTGTTGTCTTCGTAGCGACTGCCATTCATTAATATTGATTGTTTAAAAAAAGTGGAAACCAGTGATAAAAAGTTTTGAAAAAATAAGGATGATGTAGAGATGGAATCCAAAAATTAAAGAAACAAGGCAGTGATGAATATACAAAACTATACAAAAATACCTACATAAGTTGCCACTGAGTCAATATTATAAGCTTATGGGAATTATCCATTGTAAGACTTTGTAGTATTATTCAGTTTTGTTAAAACTTGAATTCATGCAGGTGAAATTAATTCAGCATTTGGTTGTAGATAAAAGCTGTTCTTGGAAATATTTGGCTACTTATGTATGGTTTTGTATATTCATCCCTACCCTGTTTCTGTATTTTTTGGCATTATCCTAATGTTTTTCAAATTTTTTTCTTTATTACTTGTATATATATATGCAGTGCCTAGACTTTTACTGTATCTGTCATATCTCAGCTGGCTGTATGAGCCTTGGTATTGGATAAAAGGCCTCATTAGTATTCCACGTGGCAGAATAAAAGCATATAGTGTGTTAACATTCCTGTATTAGTGAAACAAACCTGAACTGATTTATCAATTGTAACCCATAAAATGAGATCACAGCTAATCTAATAATTCAATTTTATTAGTATATTCTGTAAAAAACAACTTCTGAAGGCCAGAAAGAAAACACCACAGTCCTGAAATTTTCTTGTATTATTAGAAATGCTGTAGAACTGTTAGATTTAAATGCTTATCTACTGTTAACAAGGCTTGAAACACAAATACAAACCAAGCTTAATTGTTTACTAAGTCATTGTTTTATTTCAATATGGAAAGTATAAATATTGCACATATAGGTACATGTATCTCGGGTTATTCTTTATTTGGTTCGTAAGATGTACATCTATGAGCCAAGGCAGAAGTAGTTCCAAAGAAAATCCAATATTAGTTATTTGTAACTATTGAAAAAATTCTGGTTTTCACTAAAAACTGAACATGGGTATTCTATGAAGTTTATGGATTTTTTTCAAAGCATGTTATGTATTTAACATATGATAACATGTGTTTTGTGTGTTACAGGTTCTAAGCCCTTGCTACATGTATCAAAAATGAAGGTTGTAAAGAGAAGATTAGCCTGCCCACAGACAGTACAGCACATCTGGGATGCTATTGTTTACATCCGTCAGCAGAAGCAAATCCCAAATTTTGATAGAATATCTAGCTATATGCGACGTAAATACAATCTGAAGGGTAATGATTTAGAGCGACAGTTGAATTTTGCAGTTCGAGATAACTTGGTAGTGATAAAGAAAAGTGTTGGATGTAAGGGATCTAAAGTTGGTGTTGAACAGGATGGATACAGATTACCTGATGATCCAGTGGTGAGTTTAAAATCTGTATCTGTTTTATCTTTCTACATAAAATATAACTTTGTTTAATGAACTTAATTAGTAATAAAACTAACTAACACATTTGTTTTTCAGACAAGTTAAATGTTATTAACCTTTTCATGATAATAGTTATTTGAAATTTGTTAGTTAAATCTAAAACTGAGTTAAAGGCTGTTTTTTTTTCAAACACGTGATAAGATCTGTCCAAGATAAAAATGTACCACTTTGAACATTGTTATTTGAAAAAAAAGTCCTAGTAAAATATAGTTTAAAAGATTAATTTCGTGAGGTGAATAATTGCATTCTTAGTACATATGCATTGTATTATTAAGATTTAAAAAGATAATATGCGTGAATTACAATGCTTATTAGTTTATTCTTGCATGATCACTTAGTATTAAGTTTTTCAAAGTTAATTATTTAAGGGTCTTCCCTTATTCCTTTGAATTGAAATGTATTCATACTGCACTAACTGTTAATGTGTAATTTTATGAAACTAGACCATAATTACACCGTTATGAAAAGTTCACATGCTTAGGTGCTTTTATTCCATATAAAACACCGATTGAAGTTATCATGTGCAAACAAAATATTAGCAATAAAGATTTTCTTGTATTTTATTGATTACATGAAAACTTCTGAAGTTGATACTTTTATGTTGGTACTTTTATACATCCATTTATGAGAATACTTCCACGATGTACAGTTGCAAGGCCTAACGGACATAGAAGGTTTGTTTTTTTAATGTAGCTATCAAACTTGATAAACCCCATCATACAGTTTCAAGCTCTATCAGGGGCAATAATTTCAAGATTATTCCTTTAGTAGAAATGTTTGAAGTGGAGAATGATTACTGTTAAACTTACTTTAAATCCTCAAGTTTACTAAAGACTACTAATTATTAATGTAAATGGTATTTTATGAAACAATGTTGTTTAATACACATCTAATATCAGCCCATAGATTGAAGACTAACACTGTCAAATTTATGATATAAACACAAGTTAATTAGAAGTCATAATGTCATATAATTCAGTTCTAGGCATAAAATCATAGAAATTACCCATTAAAGTTATCTTTTTTTTTCAGTTGTAAAAAAAGGAAGGCTGAATTATTTAATTTAAAAAAAAATTTTCTCCTATAATTTAGAAATGTTGAAAAGGATTGTCCAAGTATGACATTTTTCTAGCACCAGATGTCCTCATTAAATAACACAAGTTCCTATTTGAACATTCGTTATGAATATGGCTCTCGGTTACAGCTGTAATCTTCTTCAGCTCAAGGAATCTTGAACATTTTAAACAAGTCCAAAGTAAACATGGAACTTAATATGAATCCTGAAAAATAATGCTATTACAGAATTGTGTTTTTTTCTGGCAACCTTGTATTTCATCTTTAATTTTGATATTCAAGTCAGTGTTTAGACATTTTCATATCTTAGTTTCCTGCTAGCCATATTGATTTTTGCATCAGACTGTCAAAACAAAGGTGTCCCCTTACCTCTGCTGCTGTTATAATCGTAATTTAATATTTTTTATTCCATTTTAATTAATCTAAAACATTATATATGTTTCAAAAATGAAGGATTAAGCTTGATACAGGTATTACTACATTGTTTTTATAGTACTTTATTATGGGGAAAAAGTTTGGTCATGTACAACTCCATTCTTGAACTTGGTGAATAGCTTCTGATTAGGTCTAACTGAACCCATATAAAAAGTCTAATTTTTAAACCTCGATTAGTTCAAGCTAACATTAAGGTATAGAAGATTGAATAATTTTTTTAAAGAAATCCATTATAATGAAATAAAGAATAGTCTATCATAGGTAATAAGTTCAATACCTCTTAACCTTATTCTGTTTAAAAAGGATAGTTTACAATTTCAAAGTAAGTATTGAGGGATTTAGATTTTTTTCTGTTCTGAAGGTTCAGTGATACTCCTATAAATTTGTTTGATTAACTGCTGTTTCAATGCTATGGGTTAATCATAAAGTGAGTAGTAATGGTTATATACTGGTACTGCCAAGTTCTTTATGTACTTGAGGTCAGTATCATTCTGTAAGCTGAAATGATGTAAGCACCAGTAAAATGTGTAGTGCACTTGAGAATTAGATGTAGTTATAATTTGGTAAGAATGAGGTAAACATGAACCTGTGATCTGTACAAAAATGCTTTTGTTTTGATTCAGTTGATAGAGAAACCTGATGATTAATACATCATTTTGCAAAAGAAAAAAGGTTCCTTCTTAGTAACAGATTAAAACAATTACATAAACTGTAGGTACAAGAAAAGGAACTTTGTTTTTTTCCACAACTCTTTAAATGTTGAGAGTTTTTCTCTTTATAGACCTGAAAATAGTTATAGTTGATAGTTAACAATTTTGCAGTAAAAGATTGTATACTTATATTTTAAGTACAGTGTAGCCCCATTATAACACGATCGTTGAGGTCCATAAAATATCATCACGAAACAAGCGGGGTTGCACTAAATTGGGGTTCAAGAAGGCTTCTAATGTTTACTATAAGTCTACAAAATTTTATAAAGATACACTTAAAATATTAAAAGTTATTAGTATGTAAACTATAACAAGGTTATGGTTACGAGGTCAGTTCCAGGGACCGAGCTCGTGTCGAAAGAGTTAATGACCCATCGTGTTATATTAGAATTTGCGTTAAATCGGGGCTCGTAAAATCGGGGTTTCACTGTATATATTACTTGCTTATAATAAGGTTTGGATATTATTTTTACATAAATAATTTTGTCTACAGACATTACACAGATTTAAAACCCCCAAGATATAGTATTATTGTACTATAAGCCTATACAGACTTGTTCCCGTATTTTTTTTATTTGGGGCAGGAACAGGAAAATGTCTTGTAAACACGAGTCACATTCCGTTTTCTTTTTCCTTTGAAGCAGGAACCTGAAAGCCATGATTGGTACTGTTTTGAGTGTCACCGTGGTGGAGAAGTAGTGCTGTGTTCAACATGTCACCGAGTTTATCATACGTTCTGTATCAAGGAGGATGTTTCAGATAAATTTATCTGTTGTATATGTAAGGTAATGTACTCTTTATAAGACAATGATGTTGCAGAAGTACAGGCTAACACTGTGAAAGTATATGGTTTCAAGTTCCTGTAATAATTTTATAGTAGTTGTTTTTGATAGAGATAATTTGAATACTATGTTGAAGATGTGAACTTTTGGTGTTGATGAAGTATGGCATAACACTGAGCTCTTTGCTGCATTTAAGTCTTTTTTTTTTTCATTCTTCTTTATCATAGGCAGAATTTTTCTCATGGATTAGATAACTTATTTTAACCTCCACACACGAAGATCATTTCTGTAACCAAATTTTACTGGTCATGGGATCAAAATCTGGTACTGAACATACATGGCCTTTCAGATATGTTGGTATTGTAGTTAGAACTAGATGATTAAGTTGATTAATGTCAAAAAAAAAATAATCATTGGGGGTTGTCTATTAATTTTGTGAAAATAATCAACTAAGCTAAAGTAGTATTTCTGATTATTACTGTTTCCAGCTATTTCATATATTTAATAACTGAAATATTGCAATTATGACTTTTTATTATTTTGGATTAATTGAATTAATTGATTATTCAAACTATTCAAGTAATCAAAATATTGCTATTATGCTTGTTTGTTGTTAAGCACAAAATTACACAAAATTTTCGAGTCATCTTGTGAGGATAATTGATTAATGTAATCGATTAATGAGCTATGATTAATTGATTAGCAAATTACACTAATTGCCCAACAATAATTATAATGTGTGGCTCAATCTTTGTTTGTTTGTAAAGAGTTACTCAAACATTAGTTGTGGATGTTATTGGCCAGTTACCTTCCTTCGATTGGCAGTTCAAAATAATGGATCATGTCAGATAGCCTTAGTAATTTTGTCATAAACAAAAATAACACACATGTAACTTTTCTTTTCTGTATACATAAGTTACAGAAGACAAACTAATCCCATTAAGTGTGAATAATATCTGCTTATAATGAATATTTTTGGACAGCTGAGACTAAGAATTGATAATTTTTAGGGTTTTAGTTAATATCTACTCAAGATACTTATATTAAGTAGTTTTAAATTAAGTATTTTGAGGCTTTTGATATTATTCTAATGATTGGATTAGTGTGCGAGCTGTACACAAAAATGCATACATTACTGTTTACTAGCAGAAACGTTGCCCTATGGGAGGCTTGACTGTTTGTCTAATTGTAGTATTCATATCTCATTGAATTTTTTTTAAGAACTCCAGTCTATCAGTATTACATTTAAAAAAATACGTCAATAAAGATGTAATCAAACCCTCACGTACAGTCCTAGTGAAATTCATGTTCTGGTTTTGAGGAGAATACTTTTATTTAAAATTGTGACTAAATGTTGCTTTATTTTCTTTCTTTTAAAAATGATTATGCTATCAAATAGTTAATACGTGACAAATATCTTTAAAATTAAAACTGAAATAGTAAACTTTAACGTATTTCAAGAGTAATTTTCTGTGTTGTAAGATATGTCAGATAGCTGTTTGCCTTTGTATATCAAAAATGTAATAAACATCTTTCCTAGAGTACTGTTAATTTACTCATACATCCTTTATAAATCCAGAATAAAAAACACTTCTTTTTTTTCTGTAAGAGCTCATCAGATGTGGTGTTCATGTAAAATTTAGATCTTTAGTTGGGAGCTTTACCTTTAGGAAATAATGGAGAAAGGTTAAATTATCCTTCTTATTTTTTAAATCTACAGACGAAATAGATATATGAATATGACAAGTTGCAATAAATATTCAACAGAACTTAATATATCTGTTCTAAGGCTTGATCTTTAGTTTGATGATGTAGAAAAAAACTTTTGTCTTTTCAGAATGTTTGTGTGTTTTTCCCATGGTTTAAGTATTGTTGCTCAGTTTTTTTTTGCTTGCTTTTTAATGACAAAAATGTAATTAGAATTTGCCAATGAGTGGATAAGGCATATTACACTATCTATAAATATTATTGATGGATAGTATACAGAATTTGCAAGATAGTGTCTTGTGTATATTTTGATCATGTTATGCAGTCTTATGGTGGGTTCAGTTTAAAAAGAGAAAAGCTAAAATTAATTGCAGTAAGTGAGAAGATTTTGAATCATAATTTTTTTTTATGTGAAATGTATTTTTCTTACAATTTCTTTTGAACATTTAAATACTTAATTTTGTTGTCTTTTTAACTCTTTTAATCTAATAAACCTTTTATTATCTTCACGTTTAACATGTTGATCTTGTGTACAAGGGTTAATTGTACTTTACAAAAACAACTTTCAAATGCTACTGCAGTGTTACAGATGTGAGCTGCAATGCCCTAGGCAACATGTTTAGATCTTGTATATTTCATTCATGGTAAATTCTTGACCTTTCAGCAGTGCAATGCTGTGACAATGTGTACGTATGAATGAATTATTATGAAAAGTTTTTCTGAAGAGAATTTTTCAGACAGCAAGTTTTTTTTTTACAGTCATTGAACACAATATTTCAAATCGAAGAATCTTCATTGCTGTAAATGAGAGCAGAAAAACTTGCACAGCAAAGCACTCCCACTTCATCCAAACCTGGAACAGTGCCCATATCTGTAAAATGAAAACTGCTAGAAAGGAGAACCCTCCGAGTCAAAAAGCCTTCGCAGTGAAGTTGATTCTCATCTCCTTACTCAAACATTGCTGTAATAAATAAGAATTTGTAGTTGACGAAGGCTCATTAGATAAAAGGCCTCAAGCTTCCAGTCAAATCTTGAAATGAAAATTTTTTTTTTTCTAAGAAAGATGGCTGAAGAAATTGGAATCACAGGACTCTTATTTGACCACTTGTCAAGTTTTCAGTGAATTCAGGTGATCTGTAGAGAGCTTGTCAAGATGTGTGATCCAAGGTTGTTTACACGTCATCCTTCGCAGAATCTTTTAATTATTATAATTATGATGTTGAGCAATAGTGCATAACATGAATTATGGCCATAAGATTGAGCACAGTTGGCAGTTTAGAAAGTAGTTCCAATAGCAAATGGTACCTGTAACTTTATTCTTATAAACTACAGTTAATTCAATATATATTTAAGTTTTTGAAATGTTATAACCAATACTAATGGTGCCATGTATATTTTTTTTTTAGGCAATGAAGAGCAAAAGTCAGGTAAAAATTAAAAAAGATGAAATGAATGCCCTTCTCAGCTACACCTGCCTAAGACTAAAAGAAAAAGTAAGAACAATGAGACATTTATTTTTAACCCTTCAACTGTGGTTGACATCATATGATGTTAGTGTAGGCGACTGTGGTTGACAGCATATGATGCAAGCATTTTGTGCATAACATTTTGAATGGCTCACTGCAAAAAGTCATGTATCTTTACGTATAGGGTGGTAGGCAAATTTATTAGGGGTGCATATATCATTATAGTAGTCGATACGATACGTATCTAGATATTGAGCCATGATATGATACGTATCTAGATACATAAGATTTACCAATGGTTTGTTACAAACTTTCACAGTCTTGTCTGTAATTTATTAGCTATATTACTGACATTGTCTTAAGTACTTCACAATTTACAGTGTTTTTTCAAATTCTCAGGTCTGATCAACTAAATGACAGCTGACAAGAGAAGTAAAATAATAAAAAAGTTAATATCTGTCTATCTATTTTGTTATTGTTAATTTGTTATATTACTTTACATGTAATGTGTTTGATAAAATAAATGAAGACAACATGTAGTACTCAATACTCATCTTCCTTTATTGAATCATTAATTTTTAGCAAAAATACTTTATTAGAAATTATGATTGTTTCTGTACAAAAGACTTATAATGTTTACTGAAAGATTGTCAAATTTCGTGAAGATACATAAATCGTATCATATCGGACAATGTATCGATACAGTTGTATCACAGCTTCATCATATGATACTCTCATCGTATTGCTATATCACCACACCTTTAATATTTACACAAGTTGCAAATGAAGGGTTAATAACCAGAGTGTGAAATGTTTTTATGTGAAGATGATTTTTTTTGTTGTGTTAAATATTTATGGATCTATATGCTGTTTATTGAACGAATTGTTAAGCAGTTTTAACAAATTAAGTACAGTTTGAGAACAAAGCTGTAAATTGTACATTACAATATTTTATATTAATTATGTCTTACGTTTTTTATTGTGTAAAATTCTCTGTACTAGTTACAAGGTTATAACGTGTAAAGATCTAAACAAGATTCACTTTCAAAACCTGTTATAATTGTGTGTTTAGCATATACACTAATATCTTTTCATGTATTATTGCTACTTATCTACGTTGAAAGTGCAGTAATTTGTATTTAAGTTCTTATTTCAGAAAAACAAACACTTAACTCTTGTGTATCTTTGTAACCATTCTCTTGACTAAGTACCAAGAAATAGAAATTCTTATATACATCATGGCCAGGTGGTTAGGACACTTGACTCATGATCTGAGGGTCATGGGTTTGAATCCCCCATCACACCAAACACGGTTGCCCTTTCGACAATGGGGGTGTTATAATGTGATGGTCAATCCCACTATTTTTTGGTAGAAGTCTAGTCTTTCATTGCTAAATTAGGGATGGCTAGTGTAGATAGTCCTCGTGAAGCTTTGCGCAAAATTCAAACCAAACCAATCTATTTTTTCTTGATCTCTTTAATTTTTTTATTTTTAATGTTCAATTATACATAAGCTGTAAAATCTGTCACATGATGATTGGTGTTATGATTATTCATGTGTTTTACATCCTTTAAATGGATACCCAGTTCATTCGACTTTGGCAGAATGTGTTTCCTGTAACCGAGTCCACTGCCTGTCTACTGATGTTTATATTTTTTGCTTGGCACTTGTGATATACATGTGGATTCTTCTTTCTTAATAATGTACTGTTTTTTTTCATGAGGCCTTTCTTGATTTTGTAATTTCACTTTAGGATTTTGTTTTTTTATTTTAATTCAGATTTTAGTTTAGCTGATAAAGACTATGATTCTTTTGTTCTTGAGAATTTAACTGCTTCTCTTTGTGCCACACAAAAGCCACCAGGCCAATCAAATGTTTCACTTCTGTACTTTCATCTTTAAATTTGTAAACTTTAGTTTAACATTGCAATTTTGAAAAACTTTGAGACACATGTGCTCCCTTTCATTTACAGATGACTCTTGATATATATATATATATATATTTGTGACAGCAAGTTGAAAGAGTGTTTTGTATTTTTCTCTGTAGGATGGGTGTCACACTGATGTAGATTCTATGAACAATTAATAATATTAAAAGTTTTAGAGATTTAGTTATGTTTGTTTTAAAAATTAGAGATGGAATCATCAGTTTGGTTAGATCCTTTTTTACACTACAGAGAAGGGCTTTCCTTGCCATGTGCAGCACATTCTCCAGCTTTCATCTGTATCGACAAGATTATTTTGTCTGATTCTGGACTGGGAGTCTTGCCTTATTTCTCTCTTTGTTTCAGTGACTCTTAGTTAATCAGAGTTTGTCCACCATGGAGTTCCTTTCTACTGCTCACCTTGTGTTTGAGGGGAATTTTTTGGCTCCTTATTCTATAGGTAGGATCCTGATATGGCTTGGTTGTTAGGGTGTTCAACTTGCAAGCTGCAGGTCAAGAGTTCGGATCCTGCCACCAAATATGCTCACACTTTCAGCTGTGTGTGGGTGTGTTTGGGGGGGGGGCGATTATAATGTGATGATGAATTCTACTTTTCGTTGGTAAAAGAGTAGCCCAAGAGTTAGCAAAGGATGGTGTTGATTAGCTGTCTTCCTGTAACTGCTACATTAGGGACAACTACCACAGATAGCCCTTGAGTAGCTTTGTGTGAAATTCCAAAAGCAAACAAAGTTTTGTACAGGGAGATACATTTTGTGCCTTTCTTTATTGACAATGTTTTAGTGAATATTCCTTTTCTCTCAAACCTTTAGCTTAATTCTCATGTCATCATTCATCTTTAAAATAAAATCGGCTGAACTAGATGGTGAAAACAAAGTTTAAATGGCACATGATGTTTCACTAGTGTTAACCTGGGATCATCAGCTGACCAAAGTCCAAGGAAGTTGAAGAAGGAACACTTTAGTGCATTCTTACAGGTTTTTTTTTTCAATTTCTCTATAGCATTTTATTTTACAGTTCCTACTAGGCCTAATTTCAAGCATTGTTTATCTTTATTAGCTTTGACAAGATCTATTTCTTGTTGCAAATCCTTTTACAGATTTTCGAAATCTAATAATCCACTTTGTCTAACTGTTGAATCATGTTGAACCAGATCCCATTAGAAAATATCCCTATTAGCGGAATGTGGAGTTGTGTTTACAAAATTCAAGTTTCCTCTGGTAATAGTTTCCATCTGTTTTCACTGGTGGTTCCATAAGGATGGATTCACTATCTACATAGGGGTATTTTTTTTTCTCATTACTGACCTATTCTTTTTTCAAGCATCATTCACTGCATTGTACTACTTACAGTTGTTTCTTGGCTACTGTATTTTAAATGAACCCTATTTGTTTCAGTTCTGATTGGGATATTTGACTTCCTTTTTTTTTTCCTTCTTCAAATGCCTTGGTTTCAATTTTTGGGTGGCAGTAGCTTTTTGGAGAAGTGCACATCTGTATCAGTTTTTTATTGCATTACTATTTGTCAGGATTTTATTGTTTTTCTTCTAGCTCATCCCATGAGGTATGATCAATCATTGTTGATGGATTAGAATCAACTAGTCAAGTTGAATTCTAATTATCGTGTGTCCTCTAGACATCTTCATCTATTGGAAGTTTTTAACCCTCTTGATACATCATTGAATTAATTTTACTGGATCGTTTTGTCTTTAATGGTAATAAGCATTCACTTGAATGTTTTTCCCTTTGTACATTATTGTGGGGCCTGGCAAAAGAGTTTCAGACCCTCCTAGAGATTCATATTACTTCAACTGCCAAAGCTAGTCTTCTTTAAGGTCAGTACCATGGGACTATGCCACTTGGCATAATCATAACCATGATGCAGGCTTCTTTTTTTTTGTATCATATGACCTATGAAGTCTTTCCTAGATGTGACAGGCACCTCACTGTTTTCTATGAACCCACCTGTGTGGATTCTAGCTACAAAGTGGTGGATGTAAGTTCTTTAATCTGAAATTAATGTTTTTATTTTAAGTGAAAATCAAATAGATACCTGCACCAAACCATTCCCATTCCAAACAAAACTTTTATTAGAAAAGCTTGAGTGGACAAAAGTAGGTGGGATGTTGATACAGATGCAGGAAGTGGATGTTGATTTAACCACTGGGCGTATCCCAATAGAGAGAGTAAAGCACTAGACCACTCACATTATGAGGGAGATTTTTCAGATCAGGTAGTGACAAATGTTAAAGGGGGAGTGGCAAGCTCAAGAGATCACTGAAATAAACTGGAAAGACAATATCTTGGCAATTAGCCAGGAGGATACCAACAAACTTGTGAAAGAGGGGGGGGGATTACTTTTTGAATAAGGGATTAACACGTGACCTGTTTTTGTTTTTATCATAATGTTGTATGATTTACATAACAGACTCGTGAACTTCACAAGATGATTCAGACAGAGAACGATGAGTGGAAGCAGTCTCGCCTAATTTACAGGAAAATGGATCTACTCACTATCGAAGAAAAAACACAAGCAAATAGTTATAAAAGTCTTGAAGAATTTCAGAGTGATGCACAGAACATTGTTCACAATATTGTTATTTATTTTGGAGGTATGTGATTGTTAAACAAGGTATTATTGAAACATTTATGATGATGGTTTTGTTCCAGGTGACTGATTTTGATTTTTATCTAGTAAAGCTCTTGTCAATGTATGCTTCTATTTTTTGAATTTCCTGTATAATTATTGTTAGTTAGAAACAGTTTTTTGTAGAAATTTCAAACTACAGCACTTATATAATTATTGGTACAATGAGAACATTCTTATTGTTAATTTTTTTATAACAGTACTCTAAATTTATATATTGATTGATGAAAGGCTTAAAAACAATTAAAGGATTAGTAAAAATGTCACTCTAGTACTAACAATAATAACATTTACTCAGGTAAAGGAACTCTGGTGGATTACACAAAGCAATTCTTTTTTTTTCTTATGCTTGAACTCTTTGTTTGCCTTTTTACCTTAAGTTCACTCATTCAGACTTTAATTACCAAAGGAACTACACATTTTATAAGATCACATTGTTTTTTCTTTTAGGTTTTAAGAATGTTTTTGAACAGTGGTGACTTTTTAGTTTGAGAATCTAATTGTGTATTACAAAACTCAACATAGTAACTTTCTTTCTTTTTTAGTACATAGTGTGATGGCAGATATGGCAAGGCAAATGTTACGGGACTGCATCTATGATTTGGGAGAGATCCGCCAATGTCACGATTGTTATCGTATGTCTAATGAGAAGTTGGATAAGTTTTGGTTTTGTCAGCCATGTGTAAGTATGTGGACTAACTTCAAGTGTCACATTTTTGTTGTGAAACTGTGTGAAACATAGTGTCCTTGTTTTAAGGAATACATTATTATAGGTGTAGTCTATTATAATTGAAAATTGTTTTATTAATTGAATTCTAAATGAATAAATTAATGATATATTTTGAAGTAAAATGTTCTTAAGCATCAGGTGTATACCATAGTTACTACAGAATTTGCTTTGTGAGTAATTGAATTCAAGAGCGAAAATAAATAAAAAGGAAACATTCAGTGTTGTATATTTTCCATTCATAAATATATGTTTAAATATATAATATCTAGTTATGGTTTTTTTTTTAATATTTTGCATTATTGGTTTGTTAAATAAGTTTTTGATCTTGATTTCATACCTTACTTAGAAATTGTGTCAATCCGAACAAATTTTCGTACAGACAGAAATATAAATCTTTTGTTTAATATATAAACAGTTGTTCAACTTTATAATACTGAATAATAAATTTTGGTGTAATGCCACATTATTATTCAAATACCTAAATTAATTTAGGTTACTAAATGGGGAGTTAAAAGGATTTAAAATCTTCATAAATAATTTCTTTCTTTCTTTCTTTCTTTGATGTAGAGTTGGAATATTTGACTAAAGTGAGAGAATTACATTTGTTTTAAATAAGTAAAAAATGTCCTTAAAAATTATAAAAAACCATTAATTATTTTTTAATTTGTCACACCTTATTATTGTAGTGACAAGAAGGGAGCAGTGTCTTAACAAAAACATTAAAAAATATTTAGTCATCCATGCACAAATCCTGGGGTTGAGCACAACATCGTGGTTACTGTACTAGGCTGAATGTTAGAAAAGTTTTAGCCTTAATATGTTACTCAACCCACACTGAATTCTCTTTCTTTCTCTCTCTCTCTGTCTATCTATATAGATAATATTTTCGGATTTACTATTATAATTGTCACCTATTTTTATGAACAGTATTATTCGTTTTTTTTATCAAAGTTAAATAATATCCCATTGAAAAGGTAACTATACAGTTTGAATAATGATATGACGAACTATGTAATATGGTATGTGGGTAGATTTAACATAGTGACTTAAAAAAAAAGAATTATAATAAAAAGTATTAGGTTTAACTGATTAGGTTTAAATAGAATACAAGATTATGTACATATTTTTTTTTTTATCAAACCCATTTGACCTTCTTAGTTGGCTAATGAAGATTTAAATGTACTTATGTTTAGATGTTCACAGATATCATGGTACAGTTTTTATAGTTAGTTAGTTATAAATGTTGTGTTACAATTTAGCATGGCATTTCCAATTAATTTGAGGGGGAAGAGCATATTTTCAGTAAATAAATGAAATAATATAAGTTATAGTAATATTCTTTTTTCTACACCTATTAATATATACTTTTTTGTTGTATATTTTTTTCTGCAGAATCCACCACATGAATTGGTATGGGCAAGACAAAAAGGATTTCCTTACTGGCCAGCCAAAATTATCAAACAAAAGAATGAAACATATGATGTTAGATTCTTCGGTGGATACCATCAGAGGTATTTTTGATGTCGGTCTTTCATTAAGGAAAATGAGCTGTTATGAGATGAGAGTGTGAATTCAGTTGTTTATAATCAGTTTTTTGTGACTTATCAATGGCGATGTGCAAACACATTTGGTCATTTCAACTCCACCTTGATGGTTTTAAAACAAGTCATAAAAAAATAGCTTAATTGCTCTTTACAACTTATAGCTGCATAACGTTGAATTGTGAAAAATTTATCAGAATAGAAAAATTAAAAGGTTGAAAGATGGCATGCATTGATTCTTGATTATTGAGTTAAAGATAGAAACGACTGTATCGGCAGTTTGGTTTCAGGTTCATGTTGTTTATTTCTGATGGGTTGTGTATTTGTAGTATTATAAGAAAAAAAAATTATGGAAACTTTGATGTTTGTTTGCAGTCTTGATTAGGTGATTTTTATTTTGAGCAATAAAGCTACATGAGTACATTACCAAAGTGTTATTGTCACACGTTAATAAAACTACATGAGCTCATTACCAAAGTGTTATTGTCACACGTTAATAAAACTACATGAGTA